TGGGAGGCCAAGGCGGGCAGATCACGAGGTCAGGAGATAGAGACCATCCTGGCCAACATGGTGAAACCCCATCTCTACTAAAAATACAAAAATTAGCTGGATGTGGTGATGCGTACCTGCAATCCCAGCTACTCAGGAGGCTGAGGCAGGAGAATCACTTGAACCAGGGAGTTGGAGGTTTCAGGGAGCTGAGATCGCACCACTGCACTCCAGCCTGGTGACAGAGTGAGATGCTATCTCAGAAAAAAAAAAAAAAAAAAAAAAATTCAACTCTGCCCTTTACTACGTATTGACCTGTGAACCGTATTTAACCTCTCTGAGCCTCAGCTTTCTCACCTGTAAGATAGAAATTATGTAATACCTATCTTATAAGACTGGCATGGGATAAATGAGATAGAACAGGTGAAAAGCATAACCCAGTGCTTGGCACATAGTGAGTACTCCATAAACGGTAGCTGTGCCTCCTTTTGGAAGATCTTGATGGCCTGGGTTAGCTGAAGCCCCAGTAGCATAGCTAACCTCAAGAAGCCCAGAAAGGTGCCCTCCACTTGTCTCCAGGTAAAGGTGCAACAAGGTATGTGTGTTTGGGAAGGCAGATGGGAGGGATAAAGCAGAGCCTGAGGCAGGTGGGGTTTAGGGTGTCATGTAGAGAGATACTAGGAACATATGGCAGGTACCCAGATACTACCAGGCCTCCCAAGAGCTGGAAACCGAGCAATCGGCTGGAGGTGGCAGAGAGTTGACCAGGCTAATTGGGGAGTGTGAATGAGCTCTCTCAGTGGGCTGTGCCTCTCGAAAAGGCTGAAGATAAATCTGGGAGGCTCGGGTGCCATCCCACCCTAAGCTATACCATGAGAGAGTCATCCCTTTGGCTTGTGATGTTTCCCAATGTAAGGCAAATACAATCTAGGAGGGATTTGACAGCTCATAGAAATTGCGACTAGACCCACAAATGACACAGGACAGAGCTCTCGGGTCAGAGAGACAGTGTTCTGCAGTAGCTGCAAACTTTGAAGCCAGCCGACTGGGGTTCAAACCCTGATTCTGCCATTAGCCTGTTCCATGGCTATTGAGGCTGTCTGTACTAAGTGCTGTAGAAGTAGTCATGGTTTCTGATTTCATGGCACCAGCAGTCTAGTTGGAGAGACACAGACTCAGGAAAGGTTTGCAGACCCCTTGGGTGGTGGGTAACACACCCATTCACATCAGAGAGTCAGTACTTGAGCTGGAGCCAAGGAGGATATTAGTGCAGGTTCTCAGAGAGGTCTCCAAGAACCAGGATATGCCAGGCTGGGTTTGGAGAGATTAAGGGGAAAGAATTTAGAGAGAGGAGAGTCTGGAGACAGGAACACAAATGGCCTGTCTCACCCGAGCAGGAAGTGGGGTTATGGGGTGGGAGTTAAGGTGAAGGGGACTTAGGGAGCCAAGAACCTTGAATAAAGATGGAGAAGTTTGAAGTTCCCAGCTACGTCCACTCCCTCTGGGCAGAGGCAGGAGTAAAGGACACAAAGATCAGTCAGGAGGACAACAGGGCTCACAGGTGCCTCTGCTGAGGCTGCGTCCACTCTGATAGCCCCTGCCAGCTGCCCCAGCATCCCTGGGTCCCCAGGGTCAGGCCATTACAGGGCGAGATTTATCACAGGCAGGTGTGCTCCAAGACGGTATATTATCCAGGATTATGAACTGTAACAGGATAATCTCTCTAATGTAATTCAAGCTCTCGACATGGCTTATGGCTCCTTAATGTACCTCAGACTGAAGAATTACAAGAACATTCTCCCCCCAGCTCCCCATGTCCCCTCCCTCCCTTCCCTGTCAACCCCTAAATGATTTAGGCAATTGCCTGAAGCCAGATCTTGGCATTTAGTCATAATTCAGTGCAGTTCAGTAAACATGACCAGCAAGGAGCTTTCCCTGCCTGTCCCTTTCCTACAAAGGCCTCTCCTTCCTCCTCCACCCAAATCCAGCCCCCAGGGACAGGCTGAGTGCAGGACAATCCATGACACTCAGTACCCTGGGACCCACCCCAAGAGACACTCTAGGTACCAAGGCTTGAGCTGCCAGGTTTGGCCTTGGCTTTCCCAATAATCCAGCATGATACTGTCCTGATGGCATCACCATCTAGATGGAGAGGATAACCCCAGAGCAACAGAATAGTGTCATAGCCCTGAGTATCTGAGGCTCCTAAGATCCTAAGATGCTCCAATTCTGTGAATCCATCTTGTAAACTCATGCCCCTTTGGGAAAACAGTCAAATCTTCAAGCTGCACCAACAGAATGTTTTACCAAGTTTTACTTTCTGTAGGTTTGCCCTTCCTGCAAAACAAAACAAAACCTTCTCCAGGGAGCTGTGCCCCTGCAACTAAAAAACTCATCTAACCCAATCTCTTTCACAATACAGGTAACGATCTTGTAACCCAGACAGAAGGGTCTTTCCTAACAATAACATTTACTGAGCAGTTACTATGTGCCAGTCATTTTCCTACATACTTTATGTGATTCATTCATTTAATGCATCCGAAAATCCTTTGAGTAGGTACTGTGATTCCCCATTTTACTGATAAGAAAACTGAGGCTCTCCTGTAATCCCAGCACTTTGGGAGGCCGAGGCAGGCGGATCACGAGGTCAGGAGATCGAGACCATCCTGGCGAACACGGTGAAACCCTGTCTCTACTAAAAATACAAAAAAAATTAGCCGGGCGAGGTGGTGGGCGCCTGTAGTCCCAGCACTTGGGAGGCTGAGGCAGGAGAATGGCGTAAACCCGGGAGGCGGAGCTTGCAGTGAGCTGAGATCCAGCCACTGCACTCCAGCCTGGGAGATAGAGCGAGACTCCGCCTCAAAAAAAAAAAAAGAAAGAAAACTGAGGCTCAAAGAGGTGCGGTCAAGGTCACAGATCTATTAAGTGGGAAGCTGGCACATGAGCCCAGGTAGCCTGGCTCCAGAGCCTGTGTTCCCAACCATTGCTCTACAACAATTGCAGGGTCACGCTTGAACATAAGCACTGGAACCCAGTCCCAGAACTTCCTCCACCTACTGAGCACCCTGCTGATATATCAAGGGAATAGGAAAATAGGATTTACTCCTGGCTCCTAGACAATATCACATATTTTCATAGTGGTCCCAAGCTCACTAGGGTGATCAGAAGACCAGGCCTCCTATCAGCCAGCCAGTGGAGGCTATTTGGAAGCCCCTCAGCTCAACTGAGGCAAGTACTCCCTTCCCCTGCCCACCCCATCATTGCACCCTCTTCTGCTGCTGCTTTCTTTGTGGTCATGCCCGACTTCCCCCTTGCCTTAAACAGAGAGCCAGAGGCCCCTCCAGGCTGCCAGGATCCAAGGAAGGCAGAATGAATCTCCCGTACAGTGGGAAGCGACCTCAGGTTGGGAAGAGTTCCTCCCAAAGTCAACTCAGTAAAACAAAGGAGTCTTATGGATAGGCGATTGAGTACACATTGAGTGCCTTCTGTATGCACTGCATTGGTCTTTCCCTAATGTTCTTTCTGATCTTGAGTAAACCACTTGGTCCTTTGGTAACTCATTGTTGTCATCTCTAAAATGGCTAATACTAGCAGTGAGGACTAAATTAGAAGACGCAGCTGAAAAAAAAGAAACTTTAGAAGGCACTCTTACTTGCAACTGTAACACCACGCGCACACACACATGCATCCCTCCGATTGAGTTGGTCATTTTGGATCTCTAAAAAGGACTGAATTTAGTTGTGTACCCACCCTCACCCCTGCACCCATACCCCAGTAAGAAGAGAAAAATCCAGATGAATTGTCTATCTCTAACCTCTGCCTCTGAAATAGGTTAGATCTGAAGTTATACCAGCCTCTCTGGATGCTGTCTGTGACATTTGGGAGTCTTTGTCCTGGGAGGAAATACTGCATAGTCAGAGGCCCTCAGGGGATACTACCAAATGTAGAGGGAAGCTGTCATCTATACTATTTGCTCATTAACTTGTATAAATGCCTATGGTACTTGGGGTAAAAAAACCAACATAGGAGTGTGTAGATTCCTGAGTTACAGTCCTACCTCTAACCTCCCTTTCCCTGAACCTCAGCTTCTCATCTGTAAAATGGGGTATGAGGAGGCAGTCCCAGGTCCCTCCCAGTCTAGCATTCCTTTGCAGATTTGCCCTGCCCCTTTCCTAGGTCTTCAGACTCTCCCTCTTTTCTCCTCTTCCTACTTTCTTTCTGTGCTACTAGCTGACCATCTCTAGGCTCAGTAGGTGCAGAGACCTGTTATTCCAGGACATGCCACGAGGGGGAGCCTCCATTTGGATGCTTGGAGTCAGGAAGGAAGCCAACTCAAGTATAAAGCTGGGGAATTCAGTCAGTCCCAAGGGACCCCATAAAGACCCAGGTGAAAATAGGAAGGAGAGAGCTCTGAGCTACAAAGACCATACTCTAAGCTCTCGAAGGACTGTGATATTGATATATATGTTCATTTTTGTTTCTCAAAACAAGTATGTCTGGTGGGATTATCTCATTTGACACTCAGTCTCATTTATGAGTCATGTAGGGTGGGTGAAATTATCTATCACCTTTACAGGTGGGAGAACCAAGTCTCTGAGAGATCCTAGGCTCACCTAGGGTCACACAGCCAACAGGGGGCAGAGCTGTTGATGGCCCAGGTCTTACTCTGTATGTCCCTGCCTCCCCCATGGATTTGCCCCAGGCTGAGCACACCAGGGATCTTGAGGGACACTTCTTGAATGAACGAATGAATGAATGAATGAACAAATGAATATGTGGGCCCTCTGGGCCTCCGTGGAGTAAGCCTTCTCTGCCTTGTGTTGGTCCACTCCAACACAGAGCTGACTGGCACCTTTGCGTCATTGTCTTCCTCTCCCTCTCACCTTCTCACAATGTTCATCCCTTACCATGAGACTCAAAGCTGAGGGGGATTTTCATTAGGTCCAACTCACTTGCACAGATGAGGAAAGTAAGGCACAGGAAGGGAAAGTGACTAGCTCATTCCTACAACAAATACTTACTGAGTGCCTATTTGTGTGAAGCCCTGTTCTAAGGGCTGAGACTTCTTTTAAGCCTCTGTCTTCATACCACCTCCAATCTAAGAGAAGGAGATACACAAATCATCAGGTAAATATGCAGCAGGTTAGATGATGACAAGCGCAACTAAGAAAAACAGAGCAGGGCAAGGGAGGTAAAGAGCCTGGTGGTGCATTGGGGTGGGACATTGGGCAGAGAAAGCCTCAGCAGAGAGGAGAGCATTGTAGGAATCTGGAGGGAACAGCAAGTGCAAAGGTCCTGAGGCAGGATTGTGCTGTCCCGCCCAGGGAACAGCTAAGAGACAGGTATGGCTGGAGTAGAATGATGATGAGGAGGAGAAGGGTGACAAGAAGGGGCAGAGAGGTAATCAGATCACTAGAGTTTTGTAAGGAACATTTTCTCTGAGTGAGATATACTGCTATTGGAGGTTTTGAGCAGAATAGGGACATGATATGACTTCAGTTTTAAAGGGATAATCCTGGTTACTCTGTTGAGAACAGACTAGGAGGGAGAAGGGAGGCAGAGAGAGAAGGTAGGAGGTGTTGCAATACTTTAGCAGGAGACGACGGTGGCTTGGAACAGTGAACTCAGTGAGGAGGTGGTGAGGAGTAGCAAATTCTGGACATATTTTGAAGACAAAATAAACAAGATTTGCTAAAGCATTTGGATGAATGATGACAGAAAAAGAGGAGTTGAGAATAACTCCAAGATTTTCTTCTCCAGCAACTGGGAAGATGAAGCTGCCCTTTTCTGAGATGGAGAAGACTGACAGGTGGGGGACCCGGGTGGAGATCAGAATTTCGAAGTAGAACAAGTGGGGTTTGAGATGCCTGCTATATGTCCAGGTGAAGTAGGAAACTGGATTTATGGGTCTGCAGGTCAGGAGCAAGATTAATAGTAGAGCTAAGAGAACAAAACCAAAATCTCATATCTCTCGACTCCCAGTAGAGTCCTTTTCACAGTACGTAGAGTACTCTCCCGTGGGCTGGAGAATTTAAATACCTGCGATCAAAACCTAAAGCGCAAAGAGGAAATACGGTAACCCTTAGCGCACTTCCCTAGCCCTAGCTCTACCAGTGCCAGAGCTGGAGAAGGTCGGAGGAGAGGGGACCGCACTGGAGGGGGCTGGCTATCTTGGGGAAGTTGGGTGAGGCCCGAGGGAGCCAAGGGCTCAGCATGCAACTGGGGCGGAGTGGGGGCTGCTAGGCTTAGGAGCGGATCTCCATCGAGGTCTGGGTTTCTTCTCTCGCAACGGTCTTGACTGTTTCCTTGAGCCACCCTCAGATATTTATTTAACCTCGCAGTTCAGCCTCCTGGGGGCCTGCAGGGAAGGGATGGAGGCAGGGCGGAGAAAGCTGGGGGAGAAGGGAAGCGAAAGGGGAAACATTTTCCTTTCCATGAGCAGGCCGAGCTCACGCATGGAGTCCCACCCCAGAGGTCTGGGGGCCAGCAGCCCCTTGGATTCCAAGTGTCAGCGTGAGAATTCAGGAACCACGGCAGTCTGCCCATCTCTATTTAAGAACGAGGAAATCGAGGGGAGCGGTAACTCGCCCAAGGTCCCACGGCGAGTCCAGGGCGGCGCTAGACTCCCAGTCTCTGGGGTCTCTCCCCTATTCTTGTCCGTCAGATGAGCACCGGAGACCCGGTAGTGTCGGGACTGGATCGGAAGACCTGAGTTCTGTGCGAAGCCACATTTACCAGCCTTGTCTTCGGACTAGACACTTTGGCGCTCTGTGCCTCAGTTTCCTCGTCTGTAAAGGGCATCGCTCTTGCTCTACCTTCCTTGGCTTGCTGCTGGACAAATTATGTTTTTTGAAAAAACAATACCACCTGCCAATTGCTGAGCCGCAGTGAGCCTGGCACTGTCCTGGGCGCATCGCCCAAGACCTCCGTGTTCTCCCAGCTTTGTAAATCCCGCCGCTGCTCCAGCCAGTGAGAATGGGAGCTAAAGGGAGGGGTGGGGGTGAGGCCAGAACCTGGCTGTCTAGCCAGAAAGAAGCCCCTCAGCACAAAGCGGCGGCGCGTACCCCCAGGCCTAGGGGTCGGTGTCAGGGGCACTGGGAGAGTGGAAGCTGGGGGTAGGGGAGCGGAAGTCCCTGCTGGGAGGCCCAACTTCCCCTTCGCCCCTCCCCCCGGCCTGCCCCGGGGCAGGTGAAGAGGGGACCGGGCTCCGCTCCAGGTGGCGTGGCAGCGACGGGGGTGGGGAAAGGCCCGGCAACAATAGCACTTTTATTTGGGACTGTTTGGTTCTGAGCGGGTGGGCGGAGGAGGAGGCGGCCGGCCGGGCTGCCGGGGAGGGGGCTGGTCAGCGGCATCTGGCTACACACCTGCTCCCGCTTAACCCCGTGCGCGCTGGGGCAGGGTGCGCAGCGCGGGGGCGGGGAGCTGGGGGCGTTCGCAGCCAGCGCCAGGAGCGACCCAGGCTGCGGGCGGCCAGCCTCGGGGGCCCTGGGCCAGGTCTGGCGGTCTCGGGGAGAGCAGGAATGGGGCTCCCTAGTGGGAATCTGTCGAGGGGCACCACCAGGGCTAGCATTGTCCCGCTACCCCTGGTGGTGCCCCTCGACCTGCGCTGGCCCCTTAGGGCTCCCTGGTCGGCCTCCAGCGCGCCAGTGCGGCTCGGGCGGGAGAGGGAAGGCGAGGGGTGGCTCCGGGGCCTCGGCGCTGACTCCCCGCCGCCTTCGGGCCGTTCCGGGAAGCCGGCCTTCCGGAGGCGGCGCGGCGGCCGCGGCCATGCCAAGGGCGCGGGGCGCGAGCCAGGCCCAGCGGGCGGCCGCCAGGCGGGGGAGCTAGCGCTGGGCGCGCCCTCGCGCACTAAACGCTTCCAGGCTGGCCCTGCAGGTGAGCCGGGGCGCCCAGCACACCGGACCCCGGGCCCGGGCCTCGCCGACTGTCCCTGCCGGTCCGGCGCCCGGGAGGCCTAGCCCTGAGCTGCACCTGCCCGCGCAGGGACCCCCGCCCCCTCTACCCCACACCCCCACCCCAGAGCTGGCGCTCTCGCCTGCCGCACAATCGGAGCTTGTTTGTGGGCGGAGGAGCCGCGCCGGGTGCGGCGGCCCCGCGCCAGCCCACTGATCCCATAAAATATTATTTGTGTTTAAAAATTCCAGTAATTGGCTATGCAGCCGCTTTTTCCGAGCCCTGTGCCAAACGCAGTAAAATCGCAGTCCGGCTGGGGTTATTTTCATCATGCAAATTCCCATTTCTGTAAACAGGGTTAAAGCCCCTGGAAGGGGCCGGGCTAGAACCAGAGGGAAAAGCAGAGGGACGGATGTGTTCTCAGACCCTGGGAGTTGCTCAAACCGGGCCTCCGCTCCTGTGATCACCCGGCTGATTAGGGAGTGTTATTCAGATAATTCCCCCAAACGCTTTTCCTTGCAGACCAGTGCCTGGACTCTACTGGTAAAATCTTTCCTTTCCTTAACCTTCTCCTCTTTCCCCATCTGATTATCTTACACCATTAAATCATGGAAATAAAATTATTATCGCCTCTTTTATCACAGGAGCAAACAGAGGCCCAGAGAACGGAAGAGACTTGCCTTAGGTCACACAGCAACTTTGTGCTGGAGCCCAGGCTAGGTTGCCTGACTGCGCAGCCATTGGCACTGGTGTAGGGCTTGGAAGAGGAAGATGCCGGAGCGGGTCCCAGTGCAGCTAGGACAGCACAAGGTCCCAGCTCTGGGCTCTGGGATGCTGTGGACACAGTAAGTCTTCTCCTGGGGGAAGACTCCCTCAACCTCCAAACATACCCACTTCCTGTCCCTGGGGCCGCCTGGAAAGGAGGAGAAGGGAGTCCCTGCCAGGGCCTTGGAAACCCTGAGTAATAGACAGGGGAGCCTCTGCCCTGCTCCACCCAGTGATGGCTGCTGTCTGCGGCAGAGAGCCACTAAGAAGAGGAACCACACACGTGGGAGGCACAGATTTTTTAAATACAGGCGGAACTGGAGCCCAGATTCTGAAGCTGAAAGGAGAGCTGGGGCTCCCAAAAGAGTAAATAATAATATATTATTTGTAATGTAATAATTGTACTACAAATAATACATTATTTCTGTATTGTATTGAGTACCTAGTATGTGCCAGACACTACTTCACGATTTGTCTCATTTAACTCCCACAAGCCTAGGAAGTTGGGCATAAATATTATACCCACTTTCCAGATTGACGATACTGATACTGAGGCTCCAGGAGCTTACGTTCCTTGCCCAAGATTGCCAGTAAGGATTTCTCTGGGGATTTCTGTGAATGAAAGACCAATAGGTTTCCTTCTGTTCCTCAGCAACCTCAGGTTTTCCTACCAGCCAAGCCTCCTCCTTCCTCTCTCCATGTCCCTCTGCAGTCCTGTGTGCAGACCACTTTCTTGCCCTTGTTCCTCCTCCCTCTTATACTCAATCTTCCCTCTCCCTTCTCCCTCTTCAAACCACAAGCTCTCCAGCCCATGCGGTTGAGGGATCCCTTGCTAGACAAGCCTCCTGTGATGCTGCACCTCCACCACCCACTCCAGTGGGGTAAAGGAAAGTAGCAGCAACAAAAACAAAAACAGCTTCTCTTTCTCAATGTGGTTGTGTGCTTAGTAGTGCATCCTCCGTGCCCATCCAAAGACACACACACACCCCAAAAACGGAGTCCAGATTGTGGTTCAGTAAAAGGAAGGCATTTCTAGGGGCCTGGGATTCTTTCACAGCCAAGTGGGCGGCCTTGTGGGTCACTGAGTTCCCGTCACTGCCACTGTCTCAGCACAGCCTGGAGACTCCCTGCCCATGGTGCTGCCAACAAAATTCCTGTAGCCTCTTGCTCAGAAATCCATTTCAATCCTAGGACTCCAGGATTCCAGCTACACTACCATATAAATACAGGGCCTCATTGTAATCAAATTGAAGTCAATTATTGTGTAAGTTTCGTGTCAGTCTCTAAATAGAAATGCCTTCAAGGTGGCTGGTATCAAGGAGAGAAGCAGAAAGGACCCTCAACTGGGCCCAGTAGGAGGACAGCTTCCTGGGAGGGGGAGAAATACACCATGGGAATGGGGAGTGGGAGGAAGGGGGCTACTTATTGAGAGAGAGAAAATAGCAGTGTCTGGTGAATTCTGAAGGGCACTTGCTGCCAAAGACTCTAGTGTGAGTTGTAAGAGAAAGCCAGTACCCAGAGTCCCAAAGCAAGCAACCCTAGAGGTCTCACCTCTCCTTTAGGGCTTCTCTCAGCCATCTGGATTTCCTACCTTCAGTCTTCCTTACTGTTTACTGCTGAAGTGGGGCCCTCAGTGTGTCATGCTCAGGTGAGAGGCCCTCCCCTTAAAGCACTGCACAGTCACTGCCAGGGCCTGGACATGGGTTTTGGGGCCCCAGGGTATATGCCAGATGCCCCTTCCTGCTCATTCCCTAACTCCAGGTCCCAACACCTCCTTTCCAGAGTCTGTCATGAGGATTTTAAAGTGGGCAGCTGCCTCATCCCTCAGAGAAGGAAAGAGCTCCCCAAACGAGCCGAGGGCTCTGTCTGCGAGACCATCTGTGGCACAGAGGATCTAGGGGAGAGTTGGCAGAAACTTCCAGAGAGTTCACCCAGGGTGAAGCCACAATGGTTCCCTGGGGTGTGTGACTCACATGTATGATGTCACAGTGGGATTGGGAGGTGTGGCCAGCACCCTTGAGCTCATATTCTTTGGGACTTTGAAGGATATAGACGGGCACTTCCTCCCTCACAGCTGTCTCTCCCCTGCTGTCGCCCCACAGAGGGTGGGATGGAATGGGGTGGGGTCCCATGACCTTTTGTCCATTTGGAAAGTGAATTTGGAGATCCTTTTCAAGGACGGGAGCAATCAGAGATGACCACAAGTCCCAATCTGTAAGGAAATACCAGTTAGAGAAAGATATACAGCAAAAAACCCACTGTGGTACATTAAAGATTTCAATCAGCATACTTTACATCACAGGTACAAATATGTGCTTGTGACCATCAGAAAGGAGCGAGGGGCTAGGAGGACCTAAGCAAGGAATGCTTCAAGGTGAAGAACGGTCAAGGCTTTGAGCGGGCTTTGCATAACTGGTAGAATTTTTATCAGGCAGAGTGGGGGCTGGCAAAATATTCTGGATGGTGGGGACAGCATTCAAATAGCCTGGAATACACAGGCCTAAAACAGGAACCTGGGATGAGAGGACTAACTGGGAGAGGTGAGAGGAGATGGGGGGTTTCTGACATCTCCCCCAAACCCAGGAGCTGCTCTCAATCCTGGTTCCCTTTCCTGGTCTGAGGGTCCCCTCTCCTCTCTCCATTTTTTTTTTTCTTTAAGAGGAACGTTGGGTGAGATCCATCTCCAAACCTGTGTGTGAGACCCCATCAGCAGAGGACATTTGTGGCAAGGAGGAGGAGGAGGAGGAAGAGGAGGAGGAGGAGGAGGAATCAGGATGTGTGTTCTTGCCTTCTGCCTCCTTTGCTGTCTCTCCATCTCTGATCCCCACCCTGGTGTCCCTGTCTCCTCTCTGCCTCTCTCTCTCTCTCTCAAGATCCCTCTGTCGCTGCCTCTTCTCTCTCCCAGTCCGCTCTGATCCAAATGTCCCTTCACGTTTGCTCAGGAACAAGACACTCCTCCAAGTGCCCAGGCAGGAGTCGGTGTTGGGGGCTGGTGGCCTGGCCCAAGTCCTGCGGGGAGCAGGCCCCATGGTGGGAAGAATGTTTCTCCCTGCCCCGATCTCTGGACCCTCCCTCTGTGAGTACAGCCTGAGGACAAAGATGATGCTCCACCCCAGCCTCCTACTCCACCCCTCAAGCCTTCCCCTCCTTGTCATCCAAAGAAAAGCCCACCACTTTGGGGGACCAGCCTCAGAGGAAGCCTCAGTCAGCCTCCCTTGTGAAGATCCCCAAGGTGGAGCTGAGGCTTCCTCCCAAGGCCAGGCCCCAGGCCTCCCCTAAAGGATCCAACACCTTCCAGGCCCAGCAACAGCTGACCCCAATGACAATTTGGCCTCCGATTATTATCAAAACCCCCTCCAAGAGCTTGCCTCTCAAAGGGCAACATGCATCCTCCGCCAAGGAGGCCTCTCGCTCCCCGGGTGCATGTGACAACCCCTTACCCCACCTTTCTTCAAAATAAATATTTTTGTTAGATCAGCAATAGTCTACCTTTTTCTTCTGCCCCGAGAGAGAGAGGAAAGACACAATCTCAGTCACTTTCAGCTGTACTATTGCATTTAATCTTCACAATAGCCCTAAAAGACTGAAAATATGTCAAATTTTGTAGATGAGGAAACTGAAGTTCAGAGGAGTTAAGTTACTTGCCAAGGTGGCAGAGCAATGATTTGATCTCAGATCTGAGTCTGAAGTTCATGTCCCCTTCACTGAGCCCTATAATATCCCACAGGCAGATCAATGACAACACAGTGGACAAGAGACAGGGCACTTACAAAACCTTGAATCTATCACTCAAGGCGCCCATTATATCTGTCAGTTTACTTTTTTTTGTTTTTTTTTTTTTTTTTTTGAGACAGACTATGGCTCTTGTCACCCAGGCTGGAGTGCAGTGGCACAATCTCAGCTCACTGCAACCTCCGCCTCCCATGTTCAAGTGATTTTCCTGCCTCAGCCTCCCAAGCAGCTGGGATTACAGGGACCTACCACCACACCTGGCTAATTTTTGTATTTTTAGCATGAGCCACTGCACCCAGACAACTTTCTTTTGATTGAAGACTTGGGGCCAACTCTCCCCATGTCTCCACCCTGAGACTTTATTCTGCCCCCTCTTCCTGTTACTGTGATGCTCAAGCCAACACTAGCAAATCCATACATACCTCCTGCCCCGAATTCTCCTGCCCAAGTTATGTATCATGCAATTTAGATGGTTTTCTCCCCTAATAATTTTTATCACCTCATTCAAAATTTGGTCCATAACCAATATCAAGGCAGAGACTTAATTTGAATCCTGTGACTTGTGACACAATGGAAAAGTTGGGCCTGGCATGGTGGCTCATGCCTGTAAACCCAGCACTTTGGGAGGCTGAGATGGGTGGATCACCTGAGGTCAAGAGTTTGAGACCAGCCTGGGCAACATGGTGAAACCCCATCTCTACTAAAAATACAAAAATTAGCTGGGCGTGATCGTGCATGCCTGTAATCCCAGCTACTCAGGAGGCTGAGGCAGGAGAATCGCTTGAACCTAGGAGGCGGAAGTTTGCAGTGAGCCGAGATAGCACCATTGCACTCCAACCTGGGCAACAGAGTGAGACTTGGTGAAAAAGAAGGAAAGAGAGAAAGACAGAAAGGGAAGGAAGGGAAGGAAAGAAAGAAAAAGAAAGAAAGAAAGAAAATGTGAACACTGACTGGATATTTGTGGATATTAAAGATTTAATTTTTTTTTTTTTTTTTTTTTTTTTGAGACAGAGTCCTGCTCTGTCACTAGACTAGACTGCAGTGGCACCATCTCAGCTCACTACAATCTCCACCTACTGGGTTCAAGCGATTCTCCTGCCTCAGCCTCCCGAGTAGCTGGGATTATAGGCACGTACCACCATGCCCAGCTGATTTTTGTATTTTTAGTAGAAATAGCGTCTCACCATGTTGACCAGGATGGTATCAATCTCCTGACCTCGTGATCCACCCGCCTCAGCCTCCCAGAGTGCTGAGATCACAGGTGTAAGCCACCACGCCCGGCCAAGACTTAATTTTTTAATAATAAACCTTTTTTTAGAAGAGTTTTTGATTTACAAAAAAATTGAGAAAATAGTACAGAGAGTTCCCATATACCCCCTGTACCTAGTGTCTTCTATTATTAACATCTTACATTGGGATAGTACATTCATTAGAATTAATAAGCCAATATTGATACATTACTATTGTTATTATTATTATTATTAAAGTAGAGATGTGGGAGTCTCACCATGTTGCCCAGGCTGATCTTGAATTCCTGGCCTCAAGTCATCCTCTGACCTCGGCTTCCCAAAGTGCTGGGATTAGAGGCACGAGCCACCATGCCTGGCCTGATGCATTAACTAAAACCCCTAGTGAATTCATATTTCCTTAGTTTTTACCTAATGTTCGTTTCTGATTCCAGGATCCCCTCCAGGATGCCACATTTAATTGTCATGTCTCCTTACGCCCGCCCCCCCTTACTGTGACAGTTTCTTAGACCTCCCTTGTTTTTGACGACCTTGACAGTTTCAAGGAGTACTGATCAGGTATTTTGAGGAATGTTCCTCTCTTGGAATTTGATGTTTTTCTCGTGACTAGACGAGGGTTATAAAAATGGGGAGGAAGGTCACAGAGATAAAGCACCATTTGTATCACATTGTATACAGCAAGTTTTGTGACTGTTACGTTGCCCTTGATTACCTGGCTGGGGTAGTGCTTCGGCAAGTAACTTAGATTTCTTCACTGCAAAGTTAGGCTTTCCCACCACCCTTCTCCTACTGTGCTCTTTGGAGGGAAGTCACTGTGCGCAGCCCTCACTGAAGCTGTGGGGACTTACACTCCTCCTCCTTGAGGGCAAAGTATCTACATGAAGGATTTGGATTTCTTCCGCATGGGAGAGTTCTCTCTTCTCCTCCATTTATTTATTTATTCAATTATTCATATCAGCATGAACTCAGGGATACTTATTTTATACTTTGGGTAATAATCCAATACTAGTATATTTATTTTTTTCGCTCAGATTGTTCCAGTTTTGGCCATTGGGAGCTATTTCAGTTGGCTCCTGTGTTCCTTTGACATACCCCCATCAATGTGAGAGTTTTGTTTTGGCTTTTTTGTTTTGCTTTGCTTTGTTTTAAGCACTTCCATGCTTTCTGGAACTATAGACACTCCAAACTCCTCTTGTATATTTTCCCGCCCTAGTCTTGGAATCAGCCATTTCTCTAAGGAGCCCTGTTTCCTTTCCTTGGAACCTAGCTCTGGGTGCTAGGTGTGCAGTTACAGACTTAATTTTTGTATGTAATAAAGGTATTTAAGATATTTTTTAAAGTTCTTATCTTTTCTAGATGCATATAAAATGTTTATGGCTGAAATAATATAATGTCTGTGATTTGCTTCAAAATAATATAGGGAGAGACAGAATATAGAAGAAACAAAGGCTGGGCACAGTGGCTCACACCTGTAATCCCAGCACTTGGGAAGGCCGAGGTGGGTGGATCACAAGGTCAGGAGTTCAAGACCAACCTGGTCAACATGGTGAAACCCCGTCTCTACTAGAAATACAAAAAAAAAAAAATTAGCCGGGTGTGGTGCCGCATGCCTGTAATCCCACCTACTCAGGAGGCTGAGGCTGGAGAATCACTTGAACCCAAGAAGCAGAGGTTGCAGTGAGCCAAGATCGCACCATTGCGCTCCAGCCTGGGTGACAGAGCAAGACTCTGCCTCAAAAAAAAAAAAGGAAAAAGAAGAAGAAATAAGACTGGCCATGAATTGCTCTATGTTGAGGCTGGGTGATGGGATGTATAGGGACTGTGTATACTGTTCTGACTACTTTAGTATATGCTTGAAATTTCTAGAGTAAAAATGTTAAAATACTAAAACGAAACTCGGTCCCACTTACCTCCTCTAAAGGTGTTCTTGGTTGCTCACATGATCTGGCAACTGCTCCTCACTCCTGCCGAACTCTTTCGTTCTTTCTTGGTCACACTGCCGCACTGAGGTTTCCCAGGCCTCTGCTTGCTGCCAGCCTGAAGACCAGGTATCTCCTCACAGTGGCACCACCGACCCTCCCCAAGCACCCACTCCGTGCAGGGTGTTATAACAAGCGTTCATGATGCTGAGGCAAATAGCGCAGGTTTGGTCCCTGCCAGCTATTATGGTTATTGGTTTCTTCAGGCACAAATTCTTCCTGACACGTTCTCTTTTGAGATTTTTTTTTCAGTGTTCCATGAAGCCTACTCTTTCTAAGTCTACGCTAAATGTGTAAAAGAATGTTTTTCAAAATGCCCCCCAGTGGCCCCAGCACTAGAATCCCCTCTAGGTCTTATTGAAAATGCAGACTTTGGGTCCCTGATTCTCTGGTTACTGAACCTGCAGGTCTAAGGTGGGGCTCTGGGCTCTGGTTTGTAATGAGCTCCATATCTCCCTTCCCGGGGAGGAGGAGGTCCTCGAAGTTCATCTCTCAAAGCTGAGGGTTCTTGGCTATGAAGAAGGATGACGGTCATTGTCTTACATATTTATCTATTTATTTATTTATTTTTAGAGACAGGATCTGGCTCTGTTTCCCAGGCTAGAGTACAATGGCGCAATCGCAGCTCACTGCCACCTGCAACTTAAGCAATCAGGCAATCAGAGGGGTGAACCATCACTCCTGGCTAAATTTTTTAATTTTTTTTCAGAGATGGGATCTTGCTATGTTGCCCAGGCTGATCTCAAACTCTTGGGCTCAAGTGATCCTCCTGCTTCAGGCCTCCCAAAATGTTGAGATTATAGGCATGAGACACGGCAACCGGCCAGCCTTTGCTTTTTTAATCTCTCCTTGTTTCTACTTATCTGCCCCATTTTGTTCTGTCTGTTTCTGCCCTCTGGCAATCTCTCTCTTGTCCCTTGGCCTGCCTCTGACCATGGCTTGTTTTGTGGCCTGGGCAGAAGGTGCTGTATCAGGCAGGGTCACGACAGGAAACCAAATTTACCCCCAGCTGGTTCAAGCGAAGAGACCTAAAGACATATTTCTAGAGTTAAGGGGAGGAGTTAGGGATATTGAGGCACCAGAGACTAACAACACTGGATTCCATGATCGCCCTGAGAGGCGACCAGTGAGGGCTGAGGGCTGGGGGAGGGGCTGCCTGCAGGAACTGCAGTCTTGGAGAGACCTGGCGTTGAGCCTGTCCTCCCTCTCTCCTACCCTAGTTGGTTATTCATATTGGCCAAACCCAAAAAGAAGCCAGAGGGCTCAGCCTCCCTTGGCTGACAGCAGAGTGGAGACGGGTAAGCAGCAGACTGGGCTGGAGGTGAGGGGCAAATGGGATAATAGGCACATTGGGTGTGCTTCTCAAGTCCTGACTGAGCAGACCCTTTGGTCATCAACCTCCAGGGCAGGCTCCCAGGCTGCTCCTAAGCCCTCCAGAGAACCAGTGTCTGAGGAGCTGAGTAAGGTCTTGGCCCTATTCTTTACTGTCAGGACTATACACTTCTTAAAGCTCAAGTGAGAGC